TTATTGGTCAACTTTAACCACATGATCACTGTAATAAAGATTACTAATCTGTGTTGTGATTGGCTTATTCAATTTGGGGGAGGGTGACGATGAACAACTATCAGCCTTATATTCAACGGAATTGGGCCGTTCGAAATTCTAATTTGGGTCTGAAAAGAATGTGCCTTGTGAATAAATTATTGCCTGCGCATTTTTCAGCATGTTTTATGATTAACACAAAGCTTGCGAATATGGGTATTTATATTATATGTAGTACAAATTTTGCAAATTTGTTAAATTTGTAGCACATGATTGAAATTACGATCAACAAAACTTAATACCTTTCCCCATAGATTCATCATTCCGCAATCATGTTAGATGAAAGCAATGAAATTGCTCAATTTAAAATTTATCTTGATAATGTGTTTGACACAATTCATGAACTGAATTTTACTCTATCTGAATACGAAACGGATCCCATTATTGAAGAATTATATTCAGAAATTGTCAAAACATGTAATGAAGGTCGGAATATTCCCGACACAATAAACACGATTCTTTCTAGGCATAATAAATCACCTCAAGATGTTTTAAATTTGTTATCATTACATCAAGATAAGTCAGAATACATTTGTGTTCTAGCGTTGTTTCATTATTACAAGATTGGGGTAACAAATGTTGGAGATATGTATCAATTATTTCTAAGTGCTTCAAATAAAAATTCCAAAAATGCCATTGCAAAATTTTTTACCGGTAAATTGTTTGAAGAAGGCGTCGGCGTTAGAAGAAACAAATCTAAAGCAATTGAATGGTATAAAGCAGCTGAAGAAGCCGGTAACTGTGCCGCAGCAGAATATGCACTCGGATATAATTTTTATAAGCTAAACAAGTATAACCAGGCATTTGGATACTTAAAAAAGTCGGCAAAAGGAAATAACATGATGGCGTTGAATCTTTTGGGATTATGTTATCAAAGATCTTTTGGAACAGGTATTAATTATGTTGAGGCCGATATTTATTATATTATATTATTTATATAAAATTTTGGAGATAGGGGACGAGACATAATTAGTAAATGATATTTTTTCGATAAACAATCTATACATATATATATATGAATGCGTGAGTGTGAAAACCTGGAAATAGATTTAATGATTTACTACGATTGGTTACAGGTTTTCATTTTCACGCACCCATATTAAATATCTTATTATTGCATGTTTACAAGTTGAAAACGAGAGATAATGATTTAGTATATAGCAATATTAGGTTGGGTAGATTTGATTTGAGACAGATTTTCAAGATGCAGTATGGACGGCTCTAACAACAGAAAATCAATATGGGTGAACCAGGAATTCTAAAAATAGATTTCTATCCACAGCGAAGTTGCGGGGTTTTAATCGATTCGATGATGTGATGATAACACGTGATTAAAGAACGTTATCATCATCGAATCGATTAAAAACCCCGCAACTTTGCTGTGGATAGAAATCTATTTTTAAAATGCCTGGTTTTCTCTTGGCGTCACCCATATTATGATTAGAGAAAACTTGTATAGGAATATTTTAAGTTTGATTGTAAATAGGTTAAAAGGAACATTTTTTTAATTTTTTTTAATATAAATTATTGATATGTTTCTAGCCCCAAAAAATAAAATAAAATAATACAGTTAACTCCCATAATCAATATTACTATAGTCACATGATTTTTTTATCTACGTATGGGCGATTCTGGTGATTATTATAATAATGTATTAAATATATTAAACATTCAAAATATAATAAAATTTATGAATTGTATAATTTGGTTGGTTGTCTTCTAATTTATAAATTGCTTATGAAACCGTCATGAAACCGTTTATGAAACATGATAAAAATTAAACATTTTGTTTGTATTTGATTGGTTAATTGTATATTTGCTTATTATTAATTTGATATAACTATATAATTTTAAAAAATTGATTAAAAAAAGATAGCACTATAGTGCTATAGTATTAAAATGCTATAGCACTATAATAATATTCCCATAAAATTATTTAAAACAGATCAATATTATTACAAAAATAATTAAAAATATTATATATTTGTTATAAAAAATCAAACTGGTAAATATAATTAAAGGAAATAATTAAACAAAAATTATAAATTTTGTAATTAGCTAGTTTTTTGATTTATATTATATATTTGATTTTTACAATATAAACAAAAATTAAATAGCATAAGGCCGACCTAGAGTTTGGAACCGGTTTTATTTTTCATATATTAAAACCGGGTTTAACCGGTTGTAATATATGAAAAATAAAACCGGTTCCAAACTCTAGGCCGACCCAAATTAATTCTACATTTAACATCAAAGGAAGAAGTTCGTCTGATTGGCTGATGTAAATCAATTGCCCGGGTAACTTATTTATATACTTTAAAGTACTT